TTAAATACTCCTCTTTTGAATAAAGTTATTCACACTCATCCTCTATTGTCCTGTTCATCATTCATAAACTCCAGAGACACAAACCAGAGGAGGCCATAGCAGTTTGGTTAGTAGACTACAACACTGGAAATAGATGTCTGTCCTGGGCTGTAATGCAGAACACTAAGCAGGCATTGCTTGCTACAGGGCTGCAACCCTCCCTAGTAGTCTCACTGACTACTGAGCCAAACAGGCTGTGTGGGCTTTACCAGCAACAGCAGAGAATTCTGTATCATCCTGGAAAGGATAATGTGGGGGCCACAACAACCACCCAAGACCCTTAAATCTGGTTGTTTTGCTAAGGTCTGACCCAATTCGGGGTTTCCCCCAGTTGTGAGTTTTATGGATCTGTTGTTGTTATTGTTGTGGTTACCTTTCTGCATTAATCTGAGTTTAGTTAATGACTAGCTACAGAATACTGGATATTTACTGAGATTCACGGCCCATGGCGGGACTGTGGGAAGCAGGAGGAGGGAGGTTGGAGGAAAAAGGAGCATCATTGTCATGGGTCTGTGCATTATCATCCTTGACAAATGTTGAAATGCGTGCCTAAAATTAAGTAGAGTAAAACCTTTCTTTTAAAAGCTCAAGTAATACATTCCTAAATCTCACGTGACCTATTGGTGAAATCTATCTCACAGACACCTGCAATCTTATTTCATTTGTTCCTATCCTGTAATGCCTTTGTGGCTTTAAAAATACATAGCTAGATTTTTCCAGCTTTGGAAAGCTAAGTACAAACTGTGATCTTGGTTGGAGATCATGTACTGACTAGAAATGATGGAGCATTGGGAGGGAAATTCATTACCACCCGGGAAGTTAATGCCTCTTTAACATGTGTTAGGGATGAGCTGGCTGTATTTGGAGGATTGTGGTTCACTCTAAGTACTAGAAATAAAATGAAATGTAACCCTCACAACTCTTTTTTTTTTCCTCACCACTTTATTTTTCCTTTGACCCTCTGGCGCTTCCAACTAGGATTCAACAACATAAGAGAACTAAGTTTTAGCTTGCCCACTGTTAATTTTAGTCACAATATCCTTTTCTTCTTAAACCAGGCTAAGCATGAGGAAAATCCAGGACATTTCACTAATGTTAAACATTATAAAACTCACATGTGAGAAATGCCTTTGACACAATCCGAGCCATGGTTTGTGCTCTCAAAGAAAGTGACACCAGGGAACACACACCACATGGAGAGTCCCAAAAGAGTAGACATAAAATTTTAAATGACGGGTGTTGGTGCCTCACACCTATAATCCTAGTTACTCAGGAGGCTGAGATCCAAAGTTCATGGGGCAAGAATGTCTGCAAGACTCTTATCTCCAATTAATCCTCAGAAAACCAGAATTGACACTGTGGCTCATAGTGTTGAGCACTAGCCTGAAGTGAAAGAGCTCAGGGATAGCACCTAGGCCCTAGGTTCAAGCTCCACATCCAACAAAACTAACCAGAAAAGAATATTCTATAGTAGACAAACTAAAGAATGAAAAGAAAAACATTATAGAGACTACTTCCCACTACCCTTTGTGACCCCCTGGTTAGGAAAATTCTCCTGCCTGGCACTGTGGCTCAAGCTTGTAATCCTAATGACGGGAACTTGAGAGATGGGGTCTGGGGTGGTATCAGCAATAACAAGAACACCTTTCAATAGGGTCTATCCTTGGAGGTTACCTGGGAAGCAGGAGAGGAATCTTTTTCCCTTTCTGCCAGGGTAGTTTCAGAGGAAGTCTACTTATGAGCCTAACTTCACCTCCGCTCAGCAGTAACAAGAAGCCTGTCCCTAACCCAGCAGCATCATTGGAGGTCACATAGAGAGCCTGGGCTTCCCTTCACAGGGGAGTAAGGCTGTCATTTCCCTGTCAGACGCTGTAGCAGTGTCAGAGGAGGTGTGATGAAACATACGAGACCTAATAAGATTCTGAGCCTTACAATAAACCAAAGTTTCAGTGAAAAACAACTCTTTCTATCAAGAATGTGGAAGAGTTCAAATTCAATGGGAATACAATCAACAGATGTCAATACCAAGATTACGCAGATATTAAAAGTATCTGAGAATTATAAAGTAGCCTTCATACAAATGCTTTAACATTACTTAATCATTTTTCAAAGCTGGTTGCTCCAGAAGGCACTAAGGCCAGATGTGGGAAGGAAAATCTGCTATGTATGACATGCTAGCTAGCACTTGAGGCTATCAGGTGTCTACTTTTTTCTAGTTTCAGAAGCATAAAATATTGCAACATTGTTTTCATTTTCTTAACCTTAATGAGTGAGACTGTGAATATTATTTTACAAATTTATTATTTACCATATCCGTTTTTCTAAGTTGTTAGTCTTTTCTAATAATTCCTACCAATTTTATTTTAAATCGACACTGATTTATATCTTTCCCATTTTTAAATTGCTGTTGAAAGTACAGATTAGCATTATAATAGAATAAATATATTCAATGGTATTTGAATTCAAAGCTTAACAAGAAAAGTCTCTGATTAAAATTTATTATGCTAGTAAAACACACATATAAAATACATCATTAGGAAAATTAAAAAGAAAGCAAGGCTGGAAGAAAATCATTGCAAAATACATAAATAACACCCGGAATCAAAATATACAGGGAATACTTTGAAAATATTGAGATGACCAATCCAATCATAGAAATGAAAATATATAAACATTTATTTTATAAAAGGAGATATACTAATGACCAATAAGCCTAGGGGAAGATGCTCAACATTATATATTATTAGCAAAATGCAAATTCAAAACAGCAACGATATACCATTTCAGATATAATAGATATAATAAAATGATATGGTAGACACTAAAAATGTTTTGGGGAATGTAGAGAAATGGGAATATTCAGTGCTGCTAGGAGTGGGAAAGGGCATCACTACTTTGGGCAACATTTTGACAGGTCTCTAAAAGTTAAACATGATTTAACATGTAACCCAGAAATTCTCATCAATATCTACCCATGAGAAAGACTTATACAGAGAGGTTCATAGAATCATTATCCATATGCTTTATATATAACCTAATATTAGATATAGTAAAAAAATTTTTTTGAGATAACCTACATTTCCACTGATTGGTAAAGGTGTTACAATCATTCAACAGAATATTATTTGCCAATAATAAGGGGGAAATTAGTCATGTACTACAACATGAAGGAATTTCTTAGGCCTTGTGCTAAAACTGAAAGATGAGGCACAAGAAGCTACATGGTGTATGATTCTGTTTATTTGAAATGTCCAGGTAAGAAAGATCTCTAAAATCTGTAGGTACATTTAGGGTTACCCAGGCATGGATGATGGTGAAGTTGGTGATGGTGGGACTTAATATCAGTAGGCAAGAGAATTCTGTTATCCTCTATGACAATTGCATAACTTGGTAAGCATCCTAAAATACCATTTGAAATCAAATAACATTTGAAATGGTGGAATTATATATCCTATGCCTCAGTTTTCACCCCAGAGCTTGTCATGTGTTTTTATTCTATTTTTATTTGTTATTAATTGTATGAAAAAGTCATTTAAGATACTAGATGTGTAATGCTTTTTCTCTTTCTGATACCCCCCACCGCTTGGCTAAGATTAAAATTTTTGTTTTATACATATCACACTGTATCTCATTCATGCTAACAAAAGTACTCATCTGAATCATAAATATGGACAAGTGAATTCTAAGAAACTTTGACTATGGGCAAAATGAAAAGGATGCATGTAAGTCAATAATCAAATCAATGTATTAGATTTTATGCATATAGATTCCTTTCTTAATATAAAAATTAGTTCTTCCTAAATCCTAAAACACAATGCAGATGTGCTGTGGCATTATATAATATATAATATCCATTTTAGTTGAAAAAACAAGTTGCCTAAACCTTATATAATTATTGTGATGGGTAGGGGCTTATAAGCATATAATATTAAATCTGATTGGAGAGAGATTTTACTGACAAGCAAGAAGTTGGTATCTTTTAGAGAGAAAGAAATGTAAGAAAGAAAAGTTTCATTCCAGAAGAGGCTTAAAAACACTTGGTAAAAAGAGAAAATAATTAGACATTAACATTAATTCATAATCTTTTTTAAAAGTGCAGAACAAGTGAAAAAAATTGTAAATGTTCAGAGCAGAGACAGGAAACAAGTGAGTCATTGCTCCAATAGAGAGTAAAAGGTGTTGAGAAAAAGTTCTTTGCAATCTGGCAATTTTCATTAAAAGCCCCAAATCTTCACCTCATTAATTTTTATTAAGCAGAATTCAAAATATTCTATCACTTATACAAGATTATCTTCATTTTAAAGCAGAACAGGGATGTTCTAATAAACCATTTAACAATAATCTGCTATTGTCTAGCTACTCCCTTCTTATAAGTTTAAGATGATGTGTTACTGCTTTAATGATTTGTGATTGGGTCACAGACTCTGGACAGAGGCCATATAGAGACAGATCAGTGATGTATTAACTCAAAATTGCTCGTGGCTGAGTAGTCAAGGGAGCAAGGGCAAATCATGGAGAGGGAAAGAAGTCGGAAATGAGAAGCCTGTAGTAAAAGTCAACTCCAGAGGGAGGAGCAAGGATGAAGGCAAATATGGTTGCAAACTAGGGGGAATCAGGCACAGGTTGGGAGAGCTCCACGCGGGATAGAGACAATCACAAATACTTGATAGGAGAAACCGTGTTTTATGGCATGAGAGCAATCTACTAGGAGAAGGTGCCGAGCAGCCCCAGGAAATTAGAATTCTGCCTGTTATACACACAGGAGCTATTGGCCTGGTCATTTTGGCTCTAAGACTATTTATAGCTGATGTGCATTGTTTGCTTTTGATTGGAATTATTGTTAGTCTGGATTTATTGTACCATAGTTTTGTGTTGTTTAAAACTATGTTGATATTTTTGTGTGTGGATCTAAAGGACTTCTCAACATGTGACTCTTATACCATGCAAATGATTTCTATTTCAGCCTGGACAGTTTTAGATGGTGTGGTCTTGCTACATGCTCTGAGAAATGGCTGTAGGAAACAACACACAACGAAGTTATTCCATCATCCCGTGTTTTATATTCGTTGAGGTATGTGCATTTTTAAAAAACTTTACACATAACTTGTAATCATTTTCACAAATTTATGCTGCGAACTTGGATGACTTCATTAAATTTGTTAATCTTATGGTTGGTACAAATTTTAATAGTATAGATGTCAGTTAAAGAATTGGTAGGTTAGCAAAATGTTTCCTAAATAGGAAGCCATGAAGTAAGAAGGTTTATAAACTGCATCTATGGGGTACAGAAAAATTTCATGTTATATTTGTTTTCTTTTTGCTGGTGGTGTGACTATATTAATGATGGAAGCTACTGCAGCATTTGAATTAAATTCTATTTTACAATCATATTCTTACTCAGAAATTCAATGCATCAGGTGCTTTAGTGATGTTACTTTATGTTTTTTGCCATGAAATCCAAATATACAAAGATAATATTAGAATTGACTGTTTCTACTAGCTATTTTTCTTCAGCGAAGTATTGGTAGCTTTTATAATGTATGGATTCTTAAAAAAATCGTAATCATAGGGGCTTGAACTTAGGGCTTTATGTTTGCTCAGCTTGCTTATTTACATCTGAGGCTTTACCACTTGAGCCATGCCTCCAACCTAATGTGTGATTTCTTTTGTGGTGGATTACTTTGAGTTACTTCAACTATAGGCCAGCAAGCAGGTTCTCCAGCATCTTCCTGGCTAAATTTTTCCACACCATCTTTCCTGTATCTTTCTATATATAATGAAGATTACTATAGTGAAGACAAAGACATGGGAAATTTTGGGCAATATGGAATTTAATGGTAAGAAAGCGATCAGATTATCTCAGAATAAGATATTAATTTGCCAATGTTATTTTTTTGGATTCTCAACAAGATACGGTATGCAGAAGATTGTTTTTCATCCTAAATATTATGTTTAAAATAGGACAGTATACAGCTGAAAAGTAAAAGCCGAGACATCTTTTCCTGTAAGCTGCCTAGATAGTCTCTCATTATGTCAAAAGTCAGCTGTAGCAAAATTATGTCAAAAATAGCTGTAGTTCTGTGTTAGGGCATCTTTTGACTGAGTTTGGGAGGAACATGCATCTTGATCTATTTAATTGTCTATGTGAAAGCAGACACTTGGGCTAACCTCTGCATATAATAAGCACAATGGAATTACATTTAACTTTATATACAACCTATGAATTATTTTGAAGGATAGTTTTTACTTAAATCTCTATACATTTATATACATGCATAAATATATGTATATTCACATATTATTATATTTGTATATTATAAAGATATAAAATATGTATTTATAAATTTACATATATTTTTCCAAAAATCATAACTCAGACTCACTGACTCTTGCTTTTGTTCATAGGCTGGCGCTCTACCACCTGAGCCATACCTCCAACCTGTAAAGCTGTATTTTGATGATCATTACTTGGCAGTTTAATTTTATTGATAATTTATATTCTCTGGTGGTATTTGTGAACCAGGTGTTTGTATTTCAGAATCCAGTAGAGATAGACGAGAAGGCTGGAAGATGTTACTGTAAGTTGAGGTACATATCTACTCAATTTACACTAACCCTCTACAAGGGAAAACAGAAAACTTGTCTCACAGTAATAAATACACATTCTTTAGAATCTGCATGCAACTTGCCACATGATACCAAAGACATCTCCAATCAGACAACAACCACACCTACTGTATAGTAGGAGGTTCTGTGAGGAAGAGAAAGCAGCCCTTTTCCCAGCCTGTCATGCAGAAATGGTAGAAGGCATAGCATTAGCTTTTTTTTTTTTTTTTTTTGGGGTCCGGTTGTGGGGCCTGAACTCTGGGCCTGGGCGCTGTCCCTCAGCTCTTCAGCTCAAGGCTAGTGCTCTACCTTTTGAGCCATAGCACCACTTCCAGATTTCTTAGTGGTTTATTGGAGATAAGAGTCTTAGGGCCTTTCCTGCTCAGGCTGGCCTTGAACGGCAATCCTCAGATCTCAGCCTCCTGAGAAGCTAGGATTACAGATGTTAGCCATCGGTGCCAGCTAGCATTAGCTTTTGAAGTGTTCTCTTTCTCTTGTGGTCAGAAACACAAAACGTTAAGCTAAGGTTATGCAATGTAGCTAAATTAATGAGCTCAATTGATTTCCTTTTCTTTTTACTTACTCAGTTATTTGATCTAAATGTGATCATATAATGTCTGCATTTTACAGAGGAAGACATGTCAAGTTCTCTCTTTTGTACTGATCTTCTTGTGTTTTCACCTGACAGAGTTCAGAGTCCATATCTTTAAGTCTCAGTGTCATCTGATTCATTTCATGGGTATAATTCTCCCTTGACAACTCTAAAGTTTTATTATCTTCTGCTGGTAGCTAAAGAAAATAAAAAATATATTTTTTAAATGACAAAAACATGTAAGCTAGGGAAAACTGGGGAATAAGTCATCCATCATGATGCTTATCCTCCCAGTAGCACTTCAATCTTAAATTTTCTTAAAAATCAAACAGGAACCAAGGCTCAAAGTAAGAGATTTAATTTATTGCTAGATGCTGTAATCTCTGAAGGTCTTTAGCTTTCTAATGCATGAATGATGAGCTTAGCTGGCGGAGCAGAAACTAGAGAAATAAATTACTCTTTCTCTACCTCACCTTGGCACAAACATAAATATAAGTCTAAAAATCTGAAAGATGAAAAATGGTTTATTTTTTCTCTTGTTTTGCTGTTCTTATACTGTATGAAAGTTTAAGATAAATCAATGGGTTACTTAGAAATGGACAAGAGAAAGAAAAAAGAAGTGAAGTAGAATATAATAGAAAATTGAGAAAGAATGAAGTGAATCTCAAAGTGATTCTCATGATTTCCATGTATTCCATTTAGCAAGCACAAACCATTCACCTAGATTCAGCTAGACACTATAATAGGGGTAAAAGAAAACTTAGCTCAGAATAACATTGTTAAAATGTCAGTTGCATCAATGAATGTATTTTCATTGCTGGTTTTTAATTATGAAAGACCATAAAACACAGACACCTACCTATACACACATACACACACACAAAATACACAAATACACACCTATATACACACACAAAATATAAAAACAAACAAAAACAGATATCTCTGTACCCACCACTTAGACCAAAGCTTAAAATATTCCAATATTTTCTTAAAGGTTTTTTGAAGGAAAGAAAAATGTTGCAGGTAATGCTGTGGGCCTGTATTATTCATGTGAATTCTATAAGTATCTGTGAAGTAATTATATGTGTGAACTTAGAAACTTACTTAACCCTACATGATTCCCATGCATATTTTTATATCTTTCCTTTATATATATTTTTACAAATACTATTTTAGGGAAATTTTGTATAAATGATACCATATAAACCTTCCTTTTATAATTTAAATTTTCATTCACTGTTTCTGAGTTTATCCAGATTGGCAGTTCATTCAATCTAATCATCTTATTTTATTTGATTATGTAAATATACCTACTGAGGTACAGCTTGAGCCATTTGCTTCATATCTTACTTAAAACATATATATATAATTTTAATTAATATTTTGCCTAATATATTTACTTTAAAAAGTATTTATTAAAAATATCAGTATATATGTATGGAAGAAGATTGAAACCTTATAATTGCTAGAGAATAATTTTACTTTCTAGGCATTTGTTTCTATATTATAGTAACCATATTAATATGTCCATATACGTTTCATAGAAGAAAATTTAAAAGTTTTATTATTAATTTTATCAGTGTATCTGTATATTTCTTTAAAATTTCAGACAATCATCTGCAAGTAAGAGCAGATTCATTTCTTCTTTTCATTTGCTAGGCTTTTAATTTTTTGTATATATTTTTATTGTAAATATACTGTTCAGAGGGGTTACAGTTACATGAGTAAGTTAACAAGTACATTTCCTATCAAACGTAACTACTCCCTCCTTTTTTCCCCCTCCCATCCCTTCATTTCCCACCTCCCCAACTCCTCCCTCCTGCCCCCCCCCAAGTTGTAAAGTTAGTCTTCAACATAGTGTCTTGTGCATCTCATTGTTACAATGGGTAAACCTATATCCTTACTTCAGCATTTTGTTATTTCCCTTCCCCCCCCCCATTAAAATAATGTATATACAAGATTCAGGGCACCGGAATCAAATACAATGGTTATACCAAGGGAGAAGAACATACAAAAGAAACAAAAATATCATATGGTACATTGTAAGTATGTTAAAAACAACAGCAAGAAAGATAAAACCAGTTGTGTCTCTCTCTTGGGCTTCATTTCACTTAGCATCATCTTATATGGTCATATGTACATAGATTTTTACCTTTTCTGCTTGTTAGGCTTTTAATTTTTGATTAAATTTTTTGTGCTTGTCTTGAGGCTTGAACTGTCTGTACATTGTCCCAGAGCTTCTGTGCTCAATGTTAGTACTCTACCATATCAGGCCCATTTCTCTTTTTGGTGATTAATTAGAGATAAGAGTCTCACAGACTTTCCTGCTCAGGCTGTCTATGAACTGTGGTTCTCAGACCTTAGCCTCCTGAGTATCTAGGACTACAGATGTGAGGTATCAACACTGAGGTAGGTTTTAATTTTTTTCCTGTCTTATTGCTCTGGATAAGTCCTCTTGTATAATACTGAATAGAAGTAGTATAGACCACATCTTTGCTACTTGCTGACTTAAATGGGACTATTACACGTGCTCTACTACTAAATTATGAGCATGTAGACTTCTTTCTGTTCCTTCCTTGTAGATTAGATTGTTTAATTTGTTTTAAGCCCATTTCCCTTATTGATTATTATATAAGTTCATTTATTTATTAGAAATATGTCATTAGATATAATAGATATAGGTATAGATATGGATATTTGGCAGTACCAGGGTTGGAACTTAGAGGCTCATACTTGTCCTAGTGGTACTCAGCCATGAAAGCCATGCCTCCAACCCTGCTTTTTGCTGGTTATTTTGGAGATGAAGTCTCAGGACTTTTCTTCCTGGGCTGCTCATGATCCTCAGCCTCCTGAATAGATAGAATTACAAG